CACTGGGGCGTCTGGGGAGCGTGCTATATCGCAATGCAGGGGCAGCACTGGGGCGTCTGGGGAGCGTGCTATAAAGCAGCGTTGCCATTTCTGGGGAGCACAAACCGCCCCTTTGGGGAGCACTTTAGCAGGGTGACTGACACCTCCACCAGTGACAGTGCATCTCACAGACATGTTTTCTCCCTATGGAACCACAAAGCCTCAAGTCCAGAGCTAAGCGCACAACTGCGGGCCTGCTGCTTTCCTCTGGCGTCTCTAACAGCGGTCGGAACGAGCCCCTCCCATCGTGTGAGGCTGACCTGCCCCAACGCACTGCAGAGCACTTTAATCAACAGGGCGGGGCGGGTTTGGGGGCTGTTGAAAAGGCTGCTTTAGAGAATAAACATAAATACATAAGGTCATTGGCCTCCCCTCCTCCGATCCTGGAGCCAGGGTGGGAGTCATGAGGGCTGGCCCCTGCTCTGCTCAGAGGCATGTTATTCATTATCTGCATTTTTAGAAGCAGCAATAAAAAGCAGAAAAATGAAAAACACCGGCCGCGGCCTAATGAAACTGTCATTCAAATGAAGCCACCCTGCTTCCTGCTGGCTGGTGTGAGCTGAAAGAGACCTGCATGCGGAGCCTGCTCCCAGCGGCCCTTCAAACACACCGCGTTCAATTTCAAAGCTCTCGGCCTGGGGAGCAGGTTTGCAATCCCCTCCCTGGAAACTTTATTCCCCTTCAACTGATGAAGTATTTCAGAGGAAATGGAGAAGGAAGGGGGAAGGGGAGGGCAGGGGGGAGCAAGGGAAGCTGTTTGCTGAGACACAGCCGTAAAACAAAAAAGAGCAGTTATAAATATCCAAGCAGGTACCCAAGCCTCCTGCCTGACTATAAATCTGTCGGCCGGGCATCCCTGCAGGGAAGGCGGGATTGGCTGCCTGTTAGTCCCAGATGGCAGCACAATCCTACACTGTTCGAGGCGGGCGCAGTTAGGGGACTCAGATGCACTCCCATGCTACCAACCGTGCCGGGCTGGACCCTGCTCTCACTCACACTGATCAGCACAGCCGGGTGTAGCCTGGGGCAGAGCGTGGCTCACCAGACAAAGGCCGAGCAATGCTGGAAGCTGGCCCAGTGTGAAAGGGACGCTATGTCCGTAACTCAAATGGCTGCGGGAGGAAGGAGCGGCAGAATGGATGCAGTGAACAGACCCCTTGGGATGAGTCCAGAGTGGAGCATCAGCGGCTAGTCAGGATTGGGGTGGCCAGTGTTACTACTAAAATGCTTTGTGGCTGTATTTAATTTCATGCATGGAGGTGAGTTAATGGGAAGATAAACTAGGTGTACTGAATCGCACAGGAAAATGTTTTCTAAGGGGCTGGGAAAACATGAAAGGAGATTCTTTGGCCAAGGTTTTCGGAAGTGACTAGTGATCTTGGGGCTCAACTTGATGAGATACCTTAAATGTCTGAGCACTGAGACCCTCTAAAAATCAGGCCCCACGAGCTGTGTTTCCTAAATCCCTAGACACTGCTGAAAATCTTGACCCTCATCAGAACATTATCCTGAAACCCTGTACAGGCCTCAAATAAGGACCTCAAAACACTAGCTAGACATTAAAGCATTAGGCTCCGGTGCCCTGGAAGGTAGGTATTATCCCTATTTTACTGGTGGGTAAACAGAAGCACGTACAGAAGAAGAAATGACTTGCCTAAGGTTACAGAGTGAGTCAGTGGCAGAGCTAGGAGTGGAACCCAGGTGTCCAGAGCACCCAGTTCTCAACTCTAACCACTAGACTACCCAGGCACAGAAGGAATGGCTAGGCCAGAGGATGGAAGGAGCCCTGCCCGACTTGTGCACAGAGAATGCAAGGGAATATCTGAAAAAATCAAACATATTTATAAAGATATTGAAGTACCTAAAGATGCAAATAGGGGCCGAGTGGGAATTACAAAGCTCTAAGCAGGTTAGGCGACTAAATGCAATTGAAGTCAATGGCCGTTATGCACCTAATTCTGCTAGGCAATCCGCATCTTTAGGCACCTAAACACCTTGAAAAATCTGGCCCCTCATCTTTTTCCCTGTTAAGACCATAGAAAAAAACCTGCCGTCTGTAGAAGAAAGATTCTCTCAAGGGAATCTGCAACCCAATTTACTATACCGCTGGATTTTTTTTTTTTGTAGAAAACTGAGGTGTTGACATGAGAGTGGGCGAAACGTAAATATGGTATGGAACTTCAAAGAAAGGCGAGGAGGCAGGTCCTGGCCATGACTGCCGTTAGTTTAGTTTTTATTCATATTCAATTAATAAGGGAGGGTAGGGAAAAAATCACTAAACTTCTGGAAGATAATGAAAACGTGAGCAATGGTTTATAAAGACTAGATCTGGTCACTCAATTGCACTTTTTTTTGTTTGTTAGAGTAACACAACTGTGATTGGAAAATGGACAGTAGGAGGATCGAAAAGAGGCTGAAAGGCCATGGAAAAAGGGTAATAAGAAGCATCAAAGCAAGGGGAGGTACCACAGAGACTAACGTTATTAATTATTATTTATCATTTGTACTGTGGTAGCACCTAAGAGCCCTAGTCCTGGGCCAGGAGCCCATAATGCTAGGCACTGTACAAACACAGAATGAAAAGACACTTCCTGTCTCAGAGAGCTTAGGTCTGGTCTAGTTGAATCTCTTCGTTAATGACGCAGAACCAAGGATTAAGCTGCCCATTCATTACATTTACAGATAAATCTATATTGGAGGAGCTGAAAACACCAGGGAGGACAGAGAAATACCAAGGGAGCCAGAGTGACTGGAAACGTGATCAGAAAACAACCCGAACACAATGAGATTCAACTCAGAGGAAACGCAAGTACTAATACACCCAGGGGCACTAACTTCCCAAGCAGAGCTATACAATGGGAAGGAGAGACTGGAGAAGCAGCAGGGCCGGGAGACGTCTAGGGGTGATGGTGGACAATAATTCAGACAGGCATTTGCAGTGCAACATTGCCCCCCAAAAAGCCGGAAGCAGCTTGGGGCTGCCTAGGTAGAAGCATCACATCCCGGAGCAGGGAGGCACTAGTTCCTCTCCATGGGGTCGATCCTGTTCCCGCTGAAGTTAATGGGAGCTTTGCCATTGATTTCAACAGGTGTGAGAACAGGATCCAGTTGGCTCTGGTGCAAGAGCACCAGGGAGTAAATCCCTTGGTACCAGAAAGATATTGACAAACTGCAGGGTGTTCACAGGAGAGGAACACAGATGTTCGGGGCGGTAAGAGGGAGAGATGAATAGAAGTAAATACACAGAGATTGGCTCACTGAAGTCTAAGGGGGAACAGGATAACAGGACACACATCTGTAAACACCAAGGAAGGAGTGAGATTATTTAGGGGGGCGAAAGGGGGTAGAATTAGGCGTAATGTGATGAAATTAAGGAAGGGAAAACTTGGGGTCTGAATGTCAGGAAAGTTTTCCTGGCAGAGAGATCTCTGAGGGTGGGGAATTATCTCCCAGAAGGCAGGGGTGGGAGCCCGGTTCCTTGGGAGGTGTAAAGTTAGACTGGACAGATCACGTGTGTGAAATAGGGGGACAGTCACAGGCCAAGGAGAGGGACGAGATGGGCTGTCCTGGTGCTAGCTTGTAGAACGAAGCTGCCTCATGTGCAGGGCATTTTCTGTGCCTGCACAGCAGGGGCTTTAAGAGCTAAATCTCTTAGTTGCTTTTAATTCCTTTTTTATTTTGCAGTAAGAGCTAACATGGTTACAGCAATTTGTGGACTTAATCACTTCCCAAATGTAACATTTTTTTAAATCAAATCAGCTGTTAAGCTGTGCAAGCATCTGAAACTAGTAAAACTTCTATCTCTGTTTGATGTTTTACAATTTGAAAACACAGAGAAAAAAAAGCTGATTTTGGGGGCTGTTGGGTTTTGTTTTTTCATTTTTGCAAGACAATTGTTGGTGGGCTGAGACCTCACGGTGCCAAGTTCCTGCTGGGAACAGACTCACGTCCAAATCTTAACTCCCCCCTCATCCTTCCCCAAAGACTAGAGGATAACAACACAAGGGAAGATAACAGCTAGCCCAGAACAAAGCTTCAGATTCCTCATTCGAGGCATTCTAATTCTTTTCCTAGAGAACTTTCCCATGTGTCTGCTCAAAAGTGTGCGAGTGTGAGAACAGGACTGGGCGTGCATGTGCAACTATCCACGTGACCATGTGCACAAGAGCACGTGAGTGAATGTACATGTACCCCATACAGCTGTCTGCAATTACAATACATGCTGTCATGTAATATATATAGATCTATGTATTAATGAAGCCTGTACAAAAGACTCCCCCACCCTTGCTAGATTACTGAGAAACATCCTCAAACATACTGAGTCCAATTCTAGTCCAGTTCTATTAAACAACCAATTATTGTTGGTCCATTTGAACTAAAGGAGACTCTCCAATTACCGGACACACACACACACACACACACACACAGACCCACCCACCCCTGTGCTGCCCTTTAGAATACCTAGATTTCTTGTGGGGGGAAAACTCCACAATGTCTTGGAAGCCTGAAGAGTGGGACCCGGAGCCAACTGTTTGGCTGTACAGAGACAGATCAGAGAATAAACCTTTCACAGCAGTGTTGACCCTCTCTATATAGCTCTGGATCCCAGGCTGGTGAGTGTTACAGGTAGGAGAGGGAGCATTCAGTGAACTTCATTGGAGTCTGGGGCAGCAGCCTTGTAAGCAAGTAGTCTTACTGCAAGAGCGCTGAGACCCACAGCCCAGCCAGAGCGCACACATAGACACACACAGGTGTGATCTAAGCTACAGCTCTCACCTACCTATGCACGTTTTCCCATCAGTGTGCAGCACAAACTTCACATGGCAGCCACACTTGGGCCCTTGGTCTGTATCGTCACACGTGTGTTGGCATCCTCCATTTCCATAGTTGCAGGTCACTGCGGGGGGCAAAGAACCCACAGTCAAGAAGTCGGCAACAGCCTAGAGCAGGTTCCAAACATCATCATCTTACGCTTTTGATCTGGAATGCACATGAGCAGGGGAATGCAGGCTGTCTGGAGATTGGAATTGCCACACCAAACAGTCCCTTTATGCCAGCATCCCATCTTCTGCCACACTAAACAATCCATTTAGTCAGGCATCCTGAGCAGGGCACTGGTCCATCTGACCCAGTACCTGATGTTCAAGCCATTTAGATTGTCTCTAGGGATGTGAGAGAGACGTTCTATCCCTACGGCCCTTTCTGTCTCTGGCCTTTCTTCCCAACCTTGGCAGTTTTTGTCATGGGGACATATCTCCCCAGCTCGATTCACATTGGCCAATGCACCATCCCATGGTAGCAACTTTCAGTTAATACCCAACTGGGCCACGTTTAAACTGGTGTCCAAGAGGTGGAAGGCTGAGAGCCGTGTGAGAAAGCCAGCCGAGGTGAGGTGAGAGGAACGAGTGGCTCTAGAGTGAGTCAGATCTAGATCCTGTCACCCTAGGTTGCGAGTTCAAATCCAGCCTAGGGTCAAGATTTTCAGAAGTGACGAGTGATTCTGGGTGCCCGACTTCAGACACTTTAAAGGGGCTTGAATGTCAGAAAGTGCTGAACACCCGCCCATGAAAATCAGAGCCCCTTAAGGTGCCCCAAGTTGGGCCCTCAAAATTGCTAGTTAGTTTTGAAAATCTTGGCCCTGATTGGTAGTGACTGAAAGTTGTTGCCATTTCATCGCTACTTGGAGGACAATACCTTACACAATTCAAAGGGGAAGTAGGGAGCTGGCATCATGGCCTAGTGGTGGGCTTCCTGCCTATGGTGCTGGAGGTCCCAAGTGCAAATCCTAAGGAAACCCAAGTAGTAGAAATGAAAATAATAATTATTAGCTTGGAGCAGGTGGGATTCTCTGGCCTGTGTTATGCAAGAGATCAGACTAGATGATCACAATGGTCCCATTTAGCCTTCAACTCTATAGGAACAGGAACTGATAGGATAGTCCCAAATACACAGAACAACAGGCTTTAGCTCCAAAACTGCTCCGGGAGACCTTGGATGGTTTAAACTTAAAATTTATGAAAGGATTTAAAATCCAGGGTTTGCAGAAATTTTTAAGCTGAGACGTAATTCTACCTAGTAGATTTAGCTGCCCAATTCCCAATCCCCTAAGCAGCTGGGAAAGTCTCAGCCGCAATGGTTAAAAAGAAATCCTCATCAGCCATTTCTAAGTCTCTGACTTTCCCTGCAGAAATCTTAGCAGAACGACACTACCATGGGGTTTCTTGCTTCTTTCTCATAGGCATCTACTACTTGCCAATGCCAGAGAGCAGGCTAGAAGGACCACTGATCTGGTCCAGCATGGTAATGTTTATTCAGAAATAAAAAAATTGTTATTGGAGATGTGTGGGATTTTCAAAAACTCTTATGTCACTTAGGTGCTTTGAAAATCCAACCCGATGTTCTTCAGCAGGCAGTTACTCGCTGCTGAGAACAAATAAAATAACAATCAAATAAATAAAATATTTTAAAAAAAATTAAAATCTTGGCAGCAGCAGTGAATTCCTGGCCTGAGATCAGAGGGGCTGACAACAGCGAGTCCCCAGGCAGATGATTCTTGTGGTTCTCTGGTGCCAGTCACTAGGGTGAGATAATCTTCTACTTTAAGACTAAAGCTGATCACACAGCAGGCTCAGCCCAGGAAGAGCAGTGAAGTCCATGCAGCGTTATACCAGAGGTGACTCTGACCCGTTGTCTCTGCAAAAGAATGAGCTCTGAAGCTCTGCGAAGAGGGAGCCACGGGATTTAGTAAAGATCTCACTGGGGGATGTTGAGCCGTCGGGACCCCATTTTAATTACTTCTGTATTATCTGGGGTCGCCTCAGCCTGTGCAGGCAGCGGCCCGGGCCCACGGACACAACGGCATAGGCAAACCACTGGAAAGCTGGGCAGGCAGATAGGCGTCTGCAACAGATGCTGCAAGAGCAGTGAAGGAGGCTGGCTGGAAACACGGCCCTTAAACCTCAGGGAATCTCAACCCATTTGGAACCTGGGTGTTATTAAGCTTTTATTAGGAATCAGGATTCCTGGGTTTTATTTCTAGACAGTGGGAGGAAAGTGCAGAGAAGTGGAAGGATGTGGTCTAAATGGTTAGAGCTGGGGGGCGAGGAATGGGCGTCAGGGCTCCTGGGTTCTTTACCTGGATCTGTGAGGTCTAGAGCTTAATGCAGGGTGACTGGGAGTCTAGGATTTGGGGTTTTGTCCCCGGACTTGGGAGAGCAGTGTGGTCTAGCACTCAGAGAAGGAGGAGATGGAGTCAGGACTCCTGAGTCTAGCGCTTATTGCGGGAAGTTTGGCCACTAGGGGTCTTAGGTTCATTTCCTTGGGTAGGTGGAGAGGGCGGCCTAGAGCAGGGGGTGGGAGTCTGGAGAGCCACGTATTAGCTTTACAAAGGAATGGTGGTTGCCATGGAGCTGCCTCAAGGCCCAAAGCCCCCTGAGAAAGGTGGGTCTCATGACACGAGGCTGGGCTGGTATCCCCCATGCTGAAGCCATAAGCAAAGGTGGGGAGAGGAGCAGCCAGGCACCGGGCTCTTACATTTGCAGTCCCGCTGGTTCTTGGTGAGCTCAAAGCCCGGACGGCACTCGCAGGCGATGCCCCCCTTGGGGGTCTCCCGGCAGATGTGGGCACAGCCGTGGTTCTTGTTCATGCAGTTCATTCCTTCTAAAAGAGAGAAGAAAACACATAAAAGCGCCACCGCTCCCCGGCAGGGCTCGGGCCATAGGGCCAGGGAGGGTCTGGGATGAAGGGTGAGTTTCTCTCATGCTGGCTGAGATTGAATACAAGATGGTCACTATCTCAGAGGGGCTGGATTACTTGGGCACAGCCTAGAGCCAAGCCCAGCCTGCACTGAAACCTCTGTTGCCTGTGACTGCCTGGGGGAAGCATCCCACAGCCCTGCCTAGCGCTCTCCGAGGACAGTTGTCCACATAGCCAACTAACACAAGCCCCCCTAAAATCCTCTCCTTGCCCCACATGCACCCAACCGCCACCCCAAAATGCCTTTGACTCCCTACAAACCCCTCTTGCCAGCCTGGGACAGATCCAGCCAGGACATGCCTTCCCCATGTTTGAAACCCAGCCCCACCTTCCCCCTCCCACACATGCCATCCATCGCCACCCATCCTTGGCATGCCCATTCCCCATCTCCATCCACCACAGCACCATCACGTCTTCCTCCTGCCCCACTGCCCACTCTCTCTCCGCCCTCAGTACCCATTTCCCCTCCATTCCTGCTTTGCCCACCCTCAACCTCCACCCCATGCTCAGCCCCCACCGTACATCCCCACTGCGCCCCTCTGCACCCAGGGTCCTTCCCCTCTTCCCCTACCCTCCCCCCACTCTGCCTGCTCGCCACCATCCATAGCCCCCCTCCAATTATCCTCCCCTGATTTGGCCTGTGCCTCTGCTCTGCTCCCCAGTGGCTTCCGCAGCAAGGAGCCGTGCCAAGGTGCCCAGGGCTGTTTCCCTGGGAGGGGCTGGACAGCTCTAGGAGGCTGGACTGTCAACATGACAGAGGCAGCATTAGCTGCTGACGTTGCTGTCTGGGCTATCCAGGCTGCAAACTAAACAGGGCGCTGCTGACTCACGACCCTGGATTGTTTTGACTTTTGCTCTGGTGCATGGAGGCGGAGTCCAGAGCTCCGTCCCGAGCCTGACAGCATCCATCACCCTGTATCGGCCACTTGCCATCAACAGGAGCTGGAGCCAGGCTTCCCCCTGGACACAAAGCGCTGGGAGGGCTGGGCGGGCCTGTCACATTGTATGGAGCAGCTGTTGGGGTTACTATGGGGCCTTGATGTTGGCTCCAGCCCAGCTCCAGCCGCCCCAGGGAGTGGGAGGAGCTGCAGGCACCTGGGGTCACAGTGCTGCCCCAACAGCCTGGCCTCAGCCTGACAACAGCAGCCAGCCCCAGGGCAGCATTCAGCCCTGGTGGAGGTTATGTGGGATGGCAGCACTTCCCAGCCAGGCCAGGGGTGAGGCGTGCATGGCACCCTGTCTGCCCACAGTCCCTCCCCACAACTTACAGAGCACTCCACCCCCGTCATGGCGCCTCTTCTGGCACGGAACACCATGGGGAAACGGCTCCCTGCAGGCCAAGCCAAGAAGCACCCTCTGCAGGCCCACGGTTCAGATTTCTGCTGCCGGCAGCAGCGTGGGTCCCTTCCGCTCTTCACTGTCGCTGTTCTTCTTGACAGGCCGCTGCAGGTGGGAGAGGGCTCGACTCTGCACCTGCAGAGCCGTCCCCGCCAGACAGCGGCACGCGACAGCCTCTTCTACACAGGCTGCCACCGCTGACCCATGGCCCTGGTGCGCTGGTGCATGGCCTGGCCTGCCTTCCCCTCGCGGTGCCTTGGCTCCTGGAAGGGGCTGCACAAGATCAGCCTTGAGCCGCACGTGAGACTCCAAAGGCACAAAGGGTCATTCTGTAATGACCAGGCACAAACGCCGCCTGGAGACTGCCAGCGAAGTCTTAGGAAGGCTGCAACTTGGGGGAAGCAGCCCAGCTTATTCCGCAGCTCACGGAGGAAGGCTGCTGTCAAATCACACGCGCTGGCGCCAGGACTTCTGGGTTCTATTCCCAGCCCTGCCAATGGCTCATTGAATTGGCTACAGGGAGTCATTTCTCTTTGCTATGCCTCAGTTTCCCCATTTGTAAAACAGCGGAGAGGGACGCTGGCCCCCGTCCCCTTTGTAAAGCGACGGGTGTGAATTAGCCCAAAGTAAGATTCTTACTGGCCATGAGAGGGACACACACTAGGAGGGGAAAGCAACATCCGGAGGAACATTTTACCCCAACACACCCTATATCTGGCCAGAGAGCCAGTGCATTGGCCTCTCCCAGTGCTGAAAGCCCAGAGCAACCAACCAGGTCTAATCAACCTCCCGGTCCCACTCCCCCAGGTGGCTCCAACCTCCAGCTCAGCTCATCCCATCCCACCCCCACTCAGGGTGGGGTTGACCAAGACGCAGCCCCAATCCCGTCAAGGCTGGGCCCCTGAGGAGAGCAGAGATCCAGCCAGCTCAGACCCATGATGGAGCATCTCAGACTCAACTAGGCCTGGCCCAATGTGATCAACACGTGTTGGACTGCTGTGTCTTTGATACACATCGCAGACCTCGCTGATGCTGATGGGGCTGCCTTTCATTCCAGCTCAATGGAAGAAGCAACTAAGCTCCTTTATGGAGGAAGGTAACAAATATTAGAAGCCATTGCCCAAGGCGCTGGGCTGCACTGACTTGGAGAACATAAGAGGGGGTTCCCTGGGGACCAGTTACAGATGCAGGAGGTGAGGGCATTGATTGGTTGCAGCTGTGTGTGGGTGTGCGAGGCAGAAAGCCCGAGAAGCAGTCATGAGCATGGCCCTGAGAGGGAGCAGACACAGAACTCCTTGGGGCACAGGACTGGCCGGTGAGGCAGGCTTGAGAATTGCGAGCAAGGAAATGCTGGTCTGTGCTGGGTTCAGGGAACCAGGACTTCGCATGCCTTCTCAGTAAAGCAATAGGATTGCACCAAACAAATACCGACTCAGATGATCCATTTCTCCTCCTACTGGAAACAACCTGCCAAGGGCCTTGAATATTGGCTAGGCGTTCAGGCCAAGGGATAACAGAACAGTAACTCGTCATCTCAGGGTGGGCGATACGGGGCCTGGGCCTACCAGGGCAGACACGCTAGTGTTGCGGGAATGCCCTGCAGGGGCTACCTGCAAGGGAAGCTTCCCAGAGCCATGCCCCATGCGCAAGCGAGGAGATTGGAACAGGGCGGGTATGGTTGTGATTAGAGGCTCACACACACACACACACACACACACACACACACACACACACACACACACACACACACA